AGCGCGGCTGTTCGCTGTCTCCCTCTCGCTGGATTTGCCCTGTGAGAAGCTGAAGGTTGCCTTCTCAGTTAGGAAGGACCGTGCCCGTTCCCAGTGCCAGAGAGAAGCCCCGCACTTTGGCCTAGGAAGAGTGTTTAGTTTGTGACCTTCGCATCGCCAGTTCCTAGCTCTGGGATGGTGGGTTGTTCAGGGTTGAAGTTAATGGCCTAAATTACTCTGCACCCTGTAGTTTGGTTTTTTACAGCTCTGCGCATTTGTTCCAAACCATTCTGTGTCCTGTTAAATATATAGACTGCAGAACTACAGCCAGTTCCAGAAAGCCTTGCCTAGTCCAAATTGTCCAGATGTGTAGGTCTGGCAAGCTGAATGGAGCTGGGAGATTTTTTTCTTTCCTAAAGACTGTTCTTTGTTTCGTGTTTGACTCCTCCATTTAGCGTGAGGACAGCAGTCCTCCAAAGATATCTACATGGAAGGCATTAGGATTAAGAGACTTAACGCAAGGTTTTTGGAAATGCAAGCAGCAGTGCCAGAATATGAGAATGAATGACTGGTGAGAACACGTTGCCTGTAGATGTGTAGATGGGAGGGGAGATTCTACGGTAGGTTTCTATTTGAAGGCACTGGAATTTGGCACATGTAGGGGAATCCTCAGTAGAAATACAGTCGCAGCACTGCTTTTCAAAGGAGGTGTAATTCTACATTCATTTTTAAAAGATATATTAAAATATTTACTAGCTTCACTAAATTCTTATATAGAACAAATAAAATATTGTAATCTTTTTGATAGTAAGCTTCATAAGCAGAGTAGCAGTTACTAAATGTTAGCCTTCGAGAAATCTGATTAGACACTGATAGCCACTTTAATGTTAGACACACATACAAAAGAGGCAGTAACAGATTTTTTTTTTTTTATCTATGAGATAAATATTCTCCTATGGATAGGTTTTGTAACATTAGACTCTTCTGAGAGAAGAAAATGTATCTCTTGGACTTGTCTTTCATTTTTAGGAACTATATGTAACTTGACAAGATAGTTACCAGCATTTGTCAGGCTGCTTCTCTATGCAGTACTTAGCTCTATTTTGTAGCTTTATTTCTTAGGTGTTTTGGAGGAAAAAAAGAACCAGAATGGAAGCAAACATTAAAATATTGTATATCTTTTAATGAGCCATTGTAAAATAAATTCCAGTATAGTATCAACAGATGGTATAGCCAGAATATTTAAATAAGAAAGTTAAAGTTAAACTTAAATCTGTGCTTTCATATAGAGGAGATGAAATGAAAGCAGACTTTCAGACAAGTTCAGCATTCAAGATAAGACTACTTGTACAAGCAGTTCTCAGGGTTTATGCTCCTTACCTTTATCTTATTTTCTTCATCCAAATTGGGAGCACTTGAGTCAGGGAAACAGAATTAATATTAATCTGTTTTATAATATAAGCAAAATAGAAAGTTAAAAAAGAAATTAAAAGTTCAGTCAATGAAAACAGCAGAATTACAGTAAAGTGAGCACCAACTTTCTTATCTTTTGGTAGCACTCTCATAAAATCTACATTGTCCTATGATGAGTCATAAAATAAAGGACAGATCTCTCTAAGCCCCTGAGCTGTCTTGTTTACCATAACTAGGAATTGGGTAATCTTACAAAAGTACAGCAAAAAATCCACTCTGATACTACATGACCATTAACCTTCCCATGCATCTGTTAATGAATGTTATATGTCCATAGTCAGCCAGGCAACTGCAAAAGAAGTCTAGTATAACCTCTTAACATCTCTGACAGAAACAATAAAAAGTTTAGTCTTTGTATATGTTATGATGCACTATCCATCTAGCACACTAATTAACAACAAAATTGTTTTGATGTGCTTTAATGAGATTCCTTTCTAGAGCTTCTTGATGAATGCTAGTGATGGTACGCTGGCCAAAATGTGCCATTACTGTAAGAAAGAAAACACCAAACTGTTTTTCGTTTCTTTGTAATCTTACAGAACTTTCCATTTTAATTGGGTGTTACAGCCACATTAAATTCTTCTAAAAGGATTTCCCACTTTCATAGGTCTAACTCATCTTAGGTAAAAATGCCTGAGGAGAATTTCTAAAAGAAATTAAAAGATCTGGTGCAGTTAGTCAACTGTAATTTTTCAAGTAAAACAAAAAATGAAGGACTGAATTTGTGGTCTGATCATGCAAGACCCTTCACATATGGGATTTCTTTTATTATTTCTTTTTTACTCAGGAGAAATCCTGTGTGTGGCTGACTTGTGGGTTTGGCTCCTGCTTTCTACTGATGGCAGCGTATGTGTTAATGCACTACAAGCAAATTGCCATGTCTAAGCCAGATGTTAATTGAAATCATGCAATACACATGTACCACTCATTGGAGAAGTAACTCAAGAATCACTGGTCATGGCACAATTACCAGATCCATCTTGCAATTGAAATCAGTCCCCCTTTGAGTAACCTTCTGGAGTGTGAAGCAGCAGAGCTGATTTTCTGCCAGGCACTGCGATGAAGAAGTGGGATTTAGCCAATCTGCAATCTTCTCAGCTTTGCCAGTTTTATGGTTTTGCTCATTTGAGGACTGTGTTCTCTGCTTCTCACCATTTGTTGACTCAGTTCCACAACTAGCACAAATTAAGCATGTGTAGCTTTACTGAAACTATGTTGATTTACAGCAACTGATGATTTGGATCTGGCACTGGTATGCAGTTCCATGTAATATGAGAATCAGATTTATTCACGGGGAAACATGAACTATAAGTTAAGTTTAGGAATAGAAGATACATATGTTATTAACACTTTGTGAATCAGTGGAGAAAAAGTAGCTCTTAAAGTGGTGATAAATTTGGACTTAAAATTACAAGAATTATTAGTATTACAATTACAAGTATCAGAAAAGCAACAGAGTACAGCAGTGAGTACTTTAAAAGTGCTTTAAAAAGGGGGTCGGGTAAATTTACAAAAGCAATCATATGACATTATTGCTTGTGATGGATCTGTTAGCTAAGAAGATCCCTTCCAGTCTCCAGTTCTTACTGAGAGATGTTAACAAAAAGTCAAAATTAGAATGAGTAACTCTCATCTGGACTAACTTGAATGTTTCTTCAATGTACTAGTTGGACTACCATTGTAAATTAGTACAGTACAGAAATCAGAGGATTTCATACCATGCCAAACACGTTCAGTGATCCAGCTTTCAGTCATCCTCCAACTTTCCTGCTACAGTTAAAATAATTAGGAAAATCTGATGATTACTTTTTATAATGCAGCAACATTTCTCCTGTAAAAGCAAAGATATCAGTCATAAAGCATTGGTAATGAGATCTACCTTGCTACATAAGGATTGCAAGCATAAGTTGTGCTGACTGTAGTTCAGACCAAAGCCTTGTCTTTATTAAGAACAAAATAGCGGACTTGTTCTAGGCATTACTGCCAGCAGTGCAGTGTTGGTTAGTAATATTGTAATCCCCAGTCTCACAGACATTTTTTACCAGCCACCTATAACAATCTGATTTTCCAAGAGCCTGATTTATGTCCACCTTTGCATCTTACTACTTGTTACTACTGCAGTTTCAATTGTGCTGACTAATGCTGTAATATAGGGACAGTTTTACTATGCAGGTTCATTCTGAAGGAAAATATTGTCTCTGAACAAATAGTTATTTCCTATTGTTTATATAAAAAATAAGAAGCACACCTCAATATTCCTGTAATGGAACTTATGAATTCTTAACTCCCTTTTGTAAGGCCATCTGCACAACTAAATTGTAACTTGAAAACAGCAAAATACATCCATAATATTTCAGCTATGAAATGAGTTGCAATGAAATGGATTGTGATTTTGAGTAACCTGTTTTTCAGGACATTTCTGTTTGTCCTGTGGCCCTCTTCTGGACTCGCTGCAGTAGGTCCATGTCTTTCTTGTGTTGGGGCCCCCAGACCTGGATGCAGGACTCAAGGCTGGGTCTCACAAGAGCAGAATAGAGGGGGGAGAATCACTTCCCTCAATCTGCTGTTTATGCTCCTTTTTACGCAGCCCAGGACACAGTTGGCCTTCTGGGCTGCAAGTGTGCGTTGCTGGGTAACATTAAGCTACTGATCAACCAACACCCCCAAGTCCTTCTCCTCAGGATTGCTCTCAAATCATTTCCTGCCCAGCCTGTATTTGTGCTTGGGATTGCCTTGACCCATGTGCAGGACCTTGCACTTGGCTTTGTTGAACTTCATGAGGTTTGCACGGGCCCATCTCTCAAGCCTGTCCTGGTCCCTTTGGATGGTGTCCCTTCCCCCCAGCGTGTTGACCGCACCACACAGCTTGGTTTCATTGGCAAACTTGCTGAGGGTGCACTCCATCCCACTGTCCGTGTCTCCGACAGAGATGTTAAACAACACTGGTCCCGGTACTGACCCCTGAGGAACACCATTCATCACTAGTCTCCACTTGGACATGGAGCCATTGACAGCAACTCTTTGGGTGCCAATTCCTTACCCACAGAGCGGTCTACCCATCAAATCCATGTCTCTCCAGTTTAGAGACAAGGATGTCATGTGTATCATCATGTTCTAGCACCATAAGAAAGGGAAAGGAGGAGCGAGGAGAAAAACATACAACTATGATTAGAAAAAGTGTTTAATGTACCTGTTTTGAAAGGTGCATTTTAATTTCTTATCATATTAGATCTGACTCTGAATAAGACCATGGAGCCTGTTACACCTCTTGTAACAAGCAGTGGGTCTGTCTAATGAAAATTCTTGAAAAAGACATATAAACATCAGTGACAGTATCAGATTATATGTTGAGTGTGGTCTCTCTGAATTCTATATTGCCTGTCATTAATCTCAAAAAATTGGTTATTATTCCCTCAAAGGTGATTGGGGTAGAAAGACTATTCCATTTTAAATCAAAATGAACATCGAATAGGAAAGAGCAAGAGAGAAATGTAAGCAGCAATGTATTTTCTTCGCATCCTAGAACTTGTTTTAATTCTTTTTACCAGGCTTACCAACGTAAACTAAAGCTAGCCCTTATAGGTCAAAGTATTTTTGGACAAGAAGTTTATAACAAGCTGAGAAAAGAGGGACATAAAGTCGTGGGAGTATTCACGGTGCCTGACAAGAATGGACAAGCTGATCCTTTGGGTAAGTGTGACCTTAATCCAAATGTTAAAATTACAGGCATACATAATAAACTTGCCTTTTTGTGAGAAGGTGGTATCTATATGGGAATTACTTGCATATGTTGTTTTTATTATATTGTATTCAGCACGAGAACTATGTGTTAACAAACACAAGTCCCAGAACTGGTTTAATCTTGTCAGTCAGTATTTAAAAGTTGTTTCTAATCATACAGGGACATACATTAAGATATATGAAAAATAAATTAATCTCAGTACTTTGTCTGAATGTACATCCTGGAGGTAATCATCCTGAACTAGATCTGTGTCTTAAAGCAAATAGCAGCAGAGCCTGTGCTCAGGCACAAATGTCTGTCACCTGTTTCACTGCGCTGTCTGGGACACTCAAGGCGTGGAGCCAAGACTGTTTATCCCTGGCTTTCTGCCCTTTCTGACAAGCTTGCATGCAGCAGTGTACCTGCAGAGCCTATTTCTCTTCCACCTGGACTATGGAAAACCCATTGAAAAGGTCAGGGGAGGCTTTGCTCTCCCTTTTTCCATTGTCAGGATGCATAAGGATTTTCTAGACTTCCTAAAGAAAGAGTTGTTGCCTGACAAGTATTCAGAATTTTATTCACAGAACAGAACCCAGTGTGACAAAGAAGCTACTTTGGAATCATCTGAACTGTAACTTTTTTTCTTTTCCAGTGGCACAAGAATGATGACTTAGTAAGATTAGCAAATAGAAGTGCCAGAATGGAATGTACCTTTATGGATAATCTGAAATCAAAACTACATTCCATGTTTGGTTTTTTTTTTTGTCAGGTCCTGACATGATTTTTCAGAACTCTTAGGAAGAAAGAATCAAACATAAATTTTGTTTACCTGGGCTATGGCACTCCCAAACTAGCATATAGTTCTCAAGTTTATTACATTCTGTAACTCTACCACATTAAAAGATTTAATCACTCTTTGGAAGAATTAGAGGAGGCAACTATTAGTTTAGAAGAAGACAATTCAACTATTCATCTCTGGAAGCATACCATAATACCTGGTTACATTATTTAAACTATTGTTGTGCAGTTATTACACTAGCAGCTGTAACTAAGTAAATCTTCCACTGACTTCAATAATACATTTATTTTAACTAAACCATAGAATTAGTTTGTTGCTCTCCTGATGAAAAAAAAAAAAAACCAACTGGATACTTTATTGCTTTTTACTTCCAGGTGACTTAAAGAGCTTAAGTCTCAAGTGAAATTTGCTAATGTTTCTGTATCCTCAGACAGCTATGATTTTTGTTTCTAAAAGCAATTGCAGTACACACTAACTTCCACAGAATAATGTGTAGGTATTTACTTATGACCTACGTTACTAGGTTAAAGATGCTTCAGGTCAAACTCAAGATCCAATTTCAGAAGTGAAAAATAGAAAGTACAAAAATGTGTTTATAAATAGAAATTAAATTAGGTGAGTTTTCCATACCTCTTATTGTTTTCACTTTTCTTCCTATTACACATACAACTCAACAGATGTAGAGTTTGACTCTACTATCCTACTCTGTGTTGAGTTATTAAAGCAGTTGTACAATGGAATTTATCAAACACCTAAAAATTCTCTCTGCAATTAGTGCGGTTGTTTTTGTCTCACCTGTGAGGCTAATTTTGGATATAGCTGTGTGTCTCACTGACGAATGAAAGCATTTCCAGAAGGCATCAGTAAACAGAATTTTGAGGAAATTACTGAAGACCTCTAGCATCTGTAGTTATTTGCACCACACGGCAAAATGCTGCTGACATGAGTGAATTTGAGTTGTATGTAGTCATATTCACATAGAAATTGCTGAACTGGAAATTAAGCTCTGCTAAACCAAACCAGTTGCAGGGAAATGTAATGACCAAACAAGAAATGAGGTGTCGCTGTTAAACAGTCAATAACGTTCATGATTCTTTTCTGCTTTCATTGGTACCTATTAGCCAAGTCATAAGAGTGAATTTAAAGTTGAGAATGATATAAGCTGTAGGAATGAAAATCAAAGACAGAATTAATACAATATATCCAAGTGCAAAGGTTTGCACATACAGATACACAGTATATCCAAGCGAATACAGAACAGTACAAAGGGCACTCTATAATCACCCACTTGATGTTCTGTTTGAGTTGTCATGCAATATCTCTCTTATTTGTTATTGTTTTTAACAAAAAATGTGAATTAAAAAAAATACTGTTCTTGCCCCTCAGCACTGGCAGCGGAGAAGGACGGCACTCCTGTTTTTAAGTTCCCCAGATGGAGAGCTAAAGGCAAGCCTATCGAGGAAGTAGTTGCAGCGTACAAATCGGTTGGAGCAGAGCTAAATGTCCTTCCATTCTGCACACAGTTCATCCCCATGGATGTTATTGACTGCCCAAAACATGGCTCAATTATTTACCATCCATCCATCCTACCACGCCACCGAGGAGCTTCTGCAATCAACTGGTGAGTTTTCTGCATCTAAAATACGTGTATGTCACATTAGGATGTTGGTCTGTACCCATTACTCATGTAAACGCTGGCACAGTTCTGCTGACTTGCAACTGCTCTGAAGGAAATTCTCTGAAGCAGCTGAGTATTTGGTTCATGAACTGTTCTTCATACCTCTGACTCATTATGATTTCCAAAGCAAGTGCAGCTGTTATTCTGGGAAGATCAGTGATGTGATCTGTACTTTCATATATTTTACTCATGCAAGCAAATCAACAATCTGGAGTTGTCACAGGCAGGACACTGCCCTCATAGCTCATCCCCCACAAGCACTAGATACCTATTACAACGGGTCTTGATGCAGAGATTTCACAGAAGGAAGAGGAGAAGAGAGAAGAGAATCCAGAATAAAAGCTTATCTTTCTGTCCTCCTGAGCAATGAACAAACAAGATTCAAAATGTTACTGTGAAAGAACTACACTGCAATACTGACCACAGTAGACTCAGATCTAGCACCTTGTGAAAATAAAGATGCCATTATGACAGTGTTTAAATTCAATTTAAAATTATCTAAATATGAAGAAGCAGTTTTAAAATAAACTTAACAGGCAGCATGATGATTATCTAAAGACATGGTGTTGTAGATTCAAAGAAAAAGCATATTCTGTTGTTTTGGTTTGGTTTGTTATTTTTCATTCTTAATAGAAAAATTGCTAAGCTGAAGTACTTAAACAAAGGAATAAAAGACACTGTTGAAGACATGAGGAAATCCTTTAAAAAGTGGCAGTTGTGTCCAAGTGAGTAAAATAAAAAAGAGCATAAACTCTGTCAAATGAGGTGAAAAATTAGAATAAGGCAGTCCATAGAAGAAATAAAGAACCAACTTATAAAGGCATGAAATTGAATAATAACAATCTTCCCAAATTCATTACATGTCAGAGGTATATAGAATGATATAGGTGTTTGATTTTAAAAAGGTGCATATCAAAGAGAACGCCATAGCAGGAAATCTGTATTGGTATTCAGGATGGAGAAGCTTAGATATCACTCCCATACAGCCCTTTGTTGTGCAGAATAAGTCAAACATTTCTCTTGAGCTGAACTGTGAGTAGAAGAGACTTTAGATAAATTGATGAATTAATAGGAATCTCTTCTCAGGCCCAGAGGACTTTCAAGCAAAGGTTCTGCAGGTTTGGGACAGCCTGGAGCGTTTCTCTTCCTTCAGATTGCATTGGTGCAGGAGACTGGAAAACAGCAAGAGCAATCTTGAAAGGGCTGAAAGGGAAAACAACAAAACTTTAGACCAGTCACTCTGATTTCAATCTGTAATAAAGAATACACTTTCTACACAAATGGGTAAATGTGATAATGTGAAAGTGTGATTAAGAAAATGAGGGGTCAAACTCAAAGTTAAAAAACATAAGGTAGTGCACATAAGGGGAAAAAAACCTGACTATATATGCGCAGTTATAAAATTAGTTGTTGTTAACTCAGAAAAGATGCTGTGGAAGGATCTTAAATACTGTCTGCATCTCGGTTAGAATGTGAAGGAACTAGAAATGCTTCAGCAAAGGCTAAGAAAGATGGTCAAAGGTACAGAACAGCTCCCACATGATAGGAGACAAATCTAGGGGATCTTCAGACTGGAAAAGAGATAATTGGGAAGGTGGTGGCCAAGTTGGAAAAATATGGATTTGATGGACGGACCACCCACTGGATAAGGAATTGGCTGGATGGTCACACTCAGAGAGTTGCGGTCAATGGCTCAGTGTCTGAATGGAGACAGGTGACGAGTGGCGTTCCTCAGGGATTGGTACTGAGACCAGTGCTATTTAAGATCTTTGTCGGCGACATGAACAGTGGAATCAAGTGCACCCTCAGCAAGTTTGTGGACGATACCAAACTGTGTGGTGCAGTTGACATCCTAGAGGGAAGGGATGCCTTCCAGAGGGACCTTGACAGGCTTGAGAGGTGGGCCCATGCCAACCTCATGAAGTTCAACAAAGCCAAATGAAAGGTCCTGTACATGGGTCAAGACAATCCCAAGCACGAATACAGGCTGGGCACAGAATGTCTTGTGAGCAGCCCAAGGATTTGGGGGTGTCGGTAGATGAAAA